TTCTTCCTTTTCTATGTAAAGAAAAGCACCTTACTAGTTTTATCCTAGGTGTGTGATTAGTTGTATGATTATCCATGAAGTACTAAACATTAAATATAAACCACTGAGAAAAGTTAGTACTTTGAGAAAGGGTAAAAGTTGAAGAAAGAAGGACCGAAAGCTAAAGGGAGGAAAGTAGGTGACAATGTATGACATAGAGGGGAAAGATCAAAGTTCAGTGGGCTGTGCAGAATGAACCCCTTGTTCTGTGTGGTTAACACTGAGGAGCCTACCCCTTTAGAATGCAGAGGACAAAACATCCGTGAAGGTAATTAGATCCCTTAAAGATCGAAGAAAATAAAGAGCATAAATTATCACTTTGAGTGTCTTTTATATCATTTACAATGTAATTACATTTGTATTCCTAAAGTAAATAAATGCATTTGGTCATAATGCAAACAAATGGCTTTGCATCTCAAAACTTGATATCTGAACTAGACAAAGTATTTTCTCTGAAGCTGACATTGACTATTTACCAGTATTTTTTTGCCGTGTATAGTTAGCCCAGGAGCATGGATTCATGTTGCTCCAAATACCATGTTCTAATGTGGTTAGCAGTATCATGAAGTTTTTATAGTACAGAACAAAAGAAAATCATTAATTAAAGCATTTAAAAAATATATGGGTCTGGAGAGATGGCTCAGCAGTTAAGAACGCTGGCTACTCTTGCAAAGGCCCGAGGTTTGATTCCCAGGACCCACATGTCAGCTAACAGCCGTCTGTAACTCCAGTTCCAGGGCATCCAACGCCCTCTTCTGGTCTCTGTGGGCATTGGACAACACAGGTGCACTTACATGCATGTAGGCAACATACTCATACACATGAAAATGAAAAAACTAAGCCGGGAGTGGTGGCGCATGCCTTTGATCCCAGCACTTGGGAAGCAGAGGCAGGCGGATCTCTGTGAGTTTGAGGCCAGCCTGGTCTACATAGCGAGTTCCAGGACAGCTGGGGCTACAAGGAGACCCTGTCTCAAAAACACCAAAAAAAAGAAAAAACTGGGTGTGGTGGCGCATGCCTTGATCTTAGCACTCTTATCTGGGGCAGGCTTGGGGCTACAGGGAGACTGTGTCCGAAAAAGATCTAAATAAATAAGTAAGTAAATAAATAAATAGATTGGTAGGAACATCAGGTAGGCCACTGCTAAGTAGAGTTGTCTCTTCCATGTATTACAGATACTATCTGATTGGTGTTCTTAGCTTTTGAACTGATGGAAACGCGTCACTTGCTAAGTTGATGCTCTTAGACAAGATGATAGTGTTAAATTTGCCTTGGTTTATCTTACCTTTCCTTTCATGAAATCTGTAAATGAAATTGTCCCTTTTTCCACATAGGGAAATGTAAAAATGATGATGAAGTTGTGATTGTTTTTCTTGTGATCTTTCCATATTTATACTTGTGATTTTTCTTCTTTGATATATTATTCTGTAACAGGCACAGGTTCAGTATCAACAGCAACATGAGCAACAGAAAAAAGATTTGGAAGTCCTCCATCAACGAAACATCCAGCAGCTACAGAACAGACTGTCTGAGTTAGAAGCAGCTAATAAAGATCTGACGGAAAGGAAGTACAAAGGAGACTCCACTGTTAGAGAACTTAAAGCAAAACTTTCTGGTGGTGAAGAGGTATTGAGTCTTCACTGCTTCCCCATCTTTAATTTTTTTTCTTTTTTTTTCTTGTTCTTTTTTTCTTTTTTTGCTCTTTTTGAGACAGGATCTCCCTGTAGCCCTTGCTGGCCTAGAACTTGGTATGTAGACTAGGGTGGCTTCAAACTCACAGAGATCTGCCTGCCTCCCAAGTGCTGGGATTAAAGGCATGCGCTACCACGCCAGG